GCTGGATGGCCCTGACTTCATTGCATTACGTGCAAACTCCTTGCATGATGAACACTGGGAAAGCAACTAGGAAAACTTCAGAATTGACACATCAACATCCTCAATTTCTCCTGCTCTGGAGCTTATTTCTGAACTTTCAGCCTTTCCCTCTGCACTTCGAACAACTCCTTGGCATTTCCACATACGCATTGTTGTTTTGCTGCAATCCCTGATGTTTGGTTCCGATCTCACTTTATGTCCGTCTGAATGTTTGACAGTTAGCCCTTCTGCCAAGACGACTTCCACCGGTCCTGTACAATTTACCACTATGCAACTCGTGCATAGTGCTTCGCACCCATGCGCTTTTTTTTTTTCTGGTCTCCCTGCCGTTCAAGCTTGCTTGGAGGATCTGCATCAACTCTATCATCTGCTGCCATGGAACTAAAGAAACCACCATAGAGAAATAAGACTTCCACTCCTTGGAACGCACCTCTTGCGTTTTACCTGACTCAATTCTCTCTGGAAGGTTTCCTGTGAACTGTCACCAAACCTGCATGCTGCACCACTCTTCTCGCGCACCTCTGTACACACATCTAGCGTACCCTTGCACAGTTTGCATTGTCTGCAATTGTACTTCTGCGCTCTAGTATGCTCCTCTGCCAACTGTTGTTTACACGTCCAGGTACCACAGTTACTTACCGTAACATAGCTCCAACAGCCACAGTATTTCCCTGAGCCGTGTACTGTTGCAAATCATTCTATCCGTCGATGAAATGGGGGTCTTCTTCTTTTGATTGACCAGAATCCTCAGATCACCTCAACAACCAGGAAACGTTCCGGGAAAGACTGGTGGGGTCACAACCGCCCCACTTAAGAACAGTCTTCCTTAGACAGTGTCTTTTTGACAGAACTTTCCTAGACCTTTGAGATAATCATGTCTGCAATCCTGCTGATCGCCTCCGACCCAATCCTGATCTCCCTCGATCTGTCATTTGATCAAGCCTGATTCCTCTGGTCTTCAATGATCTATCTCAATCTGTATATCTGGTGTCCAATTCTGGTCAGAATCTGCCCATTCTACCCTCTTCAGTGAATCCGCAGCGTTCCACAATATCCGGCAACCTTCCTTCGAGTATTGAAGATGGCAAACACCCATGTTTTGACAATCTTTCCAAACCATTCAGAATTTCACTATTCTGACCTCGCAGTTGCGTCCGGAGCGGTCCGTTTAGCTAGGACTAACCTTCGCTGCATTTCCGGGGACCTCACTGAAAACTATCCCCGAAAGCTGGGCCACACCACAATTTTCTGAAAATTCTGGGCCACATTGCAATTTTCAGAAGTTCAAGGAATATTCCGTGTACCAGCGGAATATTCCGTCCACTGCCCCTGACGCCGTCCGCCACTTTAATCTGCCTTCTTTTTACAGAAACTCCGTCTCCAAAATCTGACCGAACGGATGTGTCCGGAATACTCCAAATAGTCGGAAACCACAATTGGATCACCAAAAACGGACTCCAAATGGCTTCGATCTAGCCAAAACATTTTGTACGCCTCAGATCTGCGGCTCTACCTTCGCCGCAAAGCACTGGATCCTTCCTCCTGCGGCTGCACCATTGCCGCGTCGCACTGGATCCCTCCCTGCCTCTGGTTGACGGGGCAGACACGTGGCATACCTTTGCTGACGTGTCGCCACGTGTTGACGACGTGGCATGCTGACGCGGCCTGCGCGTGTCTTACACGCGCCTTCCCCCACTTATCTTCTTCTTTCCGCCGCGCGTGGGGCGCCTGCGTGAGACTGGGCCGACTGTCTTCACGGCGCGTGGGGGCACGTGCAGAGACTGGGCCTCACGCGCCTTCTTCAGGCGGCGCGTGAGGGCCCGTGGGGACCCCTCTGGGTGTCTGCTTTATATGGTTGGACTCCTCTTCTCGAGCCCTTGCTCCTGGTATGCTCAAAACCTGATTTCGAGCAACTTGATTTCTGGGCAGTTTCAAACAACACGCTGTTTTTGTTCCGAAACGCCACCAACTTGGCTCTGATACCACTTGTTGGGATCTGGGATCCCGCCCAAGACCTTATAGAAATTATTCCATGCAGAAAAACACACCCACACTCAAGGAGACACAATATTTAACGTGGTTCGGCCTCAATGCCTACGTCCACGGGAGAGTAGCCGGTTATCACTATAACAATGGAGATATTACAGAAAGATTACAATAGAGGAGGAGCTCACACTCTCCTCACTCACCCACTCACCCGTCTCCCTCGCTCACACCGAGGGAGACGGTCTCTCCGCTTCACATATCTCACTCTCTGTGGCTTGCTCTACTCTCTCTCTGTTCTCCTCTCACCCATCTTCATTTATACACTTCAGAATGGTGGATGGAAGGGCTGGCCAGCACATGGCCAGCTTGTGCCAACTCCTTCTTCACATGGCTAAAGGTTGGCTTCCTAACATGGCCAGCTCATGTAGCACATAGAGGATCACCCCTCACATGGGGTGATGATATTCCACAATGGGCAGTTCCACACAGCCACTAACCCACGTTATTTTCCTTTCCTTCACTTCTTCTCATATAAATCCTTGAATGACGGAAATCTGAGTGTGCACGTGGCTTTACCACTTTGTAATCACTCTAGCTACACCAACAAAACAAATAAAATAATAATAGTAATAATAATAATAACAATAATAATGAAATATAAATATATATATATATATATATGGCCATAATTTTATATTAAAAATAATTTATGATCTAAATCGATAGATCAAAATCGACAAGCTACAATCAATGAAATATGACCGCAATCAACAAGCCATGATCAATTAAACGGGACTTGGCCATAATTAACAAGCCATAATCAACGGAAAATTATTTTTTGGTGCCAACACTACCCTACCACACCACACCCGTCATTGATCCACAGTTGACATAGTAATTTCCAATATTTGTGAGAAATCAATTACGAAGAGATTGATGAGAGAGAAACCATGGGAGCTGATGTGCCGATTTCAAGTTTATTAGAGAAATTAAACAAGTTGAAAGACGTTGTCCAGGAAAGATTTATCTATCCAAGACTGAGAAATCATGTATATGTTTCCATCGACGAACTACAACGCATTCGGAACGAACTTGAAGAAATAGAGGATACCAGTACCCTTCTTCCCACTGTTTACACTTCAGATGATACCAGCACCCTTCTTCGCTCTGTTTACTCTGCTGAATTTCTAATCGAAACTTTCCTCCTCAACACACCAATTCATTGCCGACGGGATGATCTCAAAAATCTTACCAAAAACCTGCCAATTCCACCATGGACCCAATTACGGTTCAGCTCCAAATTGAAAAAACTCGTGAAGAGCTTAAAAGCTGTACATTGTGAATCGCGGCCTCGCAGAGACCATTCGGCAATCAATCACAAAACCCATGAATTTGAAGATGATGATGATGATGAACTTGTTGGATTTGGAGATGTGGAAGAGAAGAATCTGGTAGATCGACTGATCAACGATGACGAGAAAAGCCTCCGCGTGATTTCTCTGGTCAGCGAAAAGGCTGTGGGCAAGACAGCTCTGGCAAGGAAGGTTTATAACAGCCTCGACATTCGGCAATTTTTTGAGTGCCGTGTTTGGCTCCATGTTCCCAAAAATATTGAATGCAAGGATCTGTTGATTGTCTTCCTCAAACAGATTCCGATGGGGGTGTTGAAGGGGGTAGAGCTCATGAGCGAGGACGAGCTGTCTGCTCTGCTTTTCCAGACTTTAATGGAGCTCAGGTTTCTAATAGTAAAAAAAAATGTCTCCTTGTTTGATGTCTGGCTCATGTTAGCATGTCCCTTTGCAGACGCCGCCAATGGTAGCAGAGTCATCCTCACTACTCACAACTCTAAGATAGCCTTGGATGTTGATCCGTGGAGTCTCCTACCGCTGGAACTCAAGCCCTTCACTGATGAGCTGCGTTGGGAATTGTTCTCGAACAAGTTTCGTGTAGGCAGACATGACACAGATACACACCGCCAGTTAAACAGTTACAAGGTAAAAATTCTGAAAATATGCAGCGGTTTGCCTCCAGCAATTGTCCTGCTTGGACGATTGTTGTCAACTATACAATCTAATGAGTTGTTCGGGGTAATTGATAGTCTTTTAATCGACTTGGACAAATTTGATCAATCACCTCTCTCAAATATTATAGCTTTATGTTTTCGTGAGCTACAGTCTGAGTTGAAGCTATGTTTTCTTTACTTGGCTCTCTTTCCCAAAGAGTATGAGATCTCCATGCGGAGGCTGTTGCAGTTGTGGATTGCAGAGGGTTTTGTGAAAAATGTCAAGTACCCAACAACCTGAAGATATAGCCGGTAAATATTTGAAAGAACTCGTGCACAGAAACATGATTGAAATAGCAACAAGGAAGGAAGATGGAAGGCATAAAACATGTCGAATGCCAAGCTTTCTTCATGATTTCTTCTTTAAAAAATCTGAGGATATAGGATTTATTCACGCCCACCATTGCAGAGCGAATTGTACACCTATAGATTCAACTGCCCAGCTTAATACAGATTCACTGGCTGATCAGCCTAATACAGATTCATCTGCTCAGAATAATATAGATTTACCTGCTCAGCCTAATAATGTTTGTTGGGTGATGCTATGGTACATTTAGTTATGAACTTATATGATTTTATGTCATAACTAATATCATATTAGTCATAATCACTATCATATTGAGTCATAACTTAGTTATATTCAGTTACTTATTTATACCATATTATCTCATAACCAGATCATAACTAAATTACTTAAATAATTGAACTCTCAAATAGGCAACCGGCTACACCAGTTAGAAGGGGAAACAAAATTGAATCAGTGTGTTTGGCCCTCTTGTTGGCTCTTCTCCTCCCTCTTCTCTTCCGCCATAGCTGAAGCTTCCAAGGACCACCAGCCTCGTCGGCGATCCGGGCTTCAGCCATGTCGACATCTTCTTCGCAAGCTCTCACTCTCTGGACGTCTCCACCATGGGTTTGTTCTAGTTGTTCTTCATCAATCGCAACGATCTCTGTTCTTCATCGATCTCGAGGCTAATCGAACTCGAACTCAATCTCTCTCGCTATTAGCTCCCATCTTGAGTTTGCAAATCGCAAATCCGAAATCGAGTTTGAATCAGATCAGATCTATCTTGCTCTTTATCTCAGGTACATTTTTCAGAAAATTAAAAAAATTCATGTATTGTCTTTCATATATTTTTTTCTTAGATTTCATTTGCTAATAAATGAATATATATATATATATATATGGTGGTTGCAAAAAAACAAATTTGTTAGATTTCATTTGAGTTGTAAACTAGTTTATATTCAGATTTTGAAGCTCGTTTAGTGTACATTTTCCTGTGGTGCTGTAATCGAAAGTTATATTTGAATTGTTGTCCTCTTGATCTGATCAACAGTTGGATTTGATATGTTATACAGAGAGTTTTTGTAAGTAATTTTATTGTCTGATTGCTTTGCAATTGTTAGATTGGTGATTGATTGCTCTATTATATTGGATGAGATTCATAGAGAAAGCTCATCAGTTTGATTTTATTTGAATTAGAATGGAAGATGAAGAGTAAGGGGGAGGAAGAAAAAAGAAAACATGGATTGATTCAAGTTGAAACTTTGGCACAACGTTTTTCTAATCCAGTTAGAACTCAGTGCAAACCTAGTTTTCTTCATCTATAACCATGTATATAAATTATTAAAAGAAATTATAGCATGAAGTAATTAGTAGAGATAAATCATGTAGAATATCAATTCTTTTAAAAACTTTACCTACATTGAAGTTCTTTGTGGGAAAATTCCACGTAAATGGTAGATCCCAGTTGTAACTAAGTTCTAAAATATCAAATGCAGGTTTATCATTCATATATGATAATCTATACTATTTTAAATTAATTCTTGTTTTTTCTTTGAATGCAGAGACTAAAAATAAAAAATAAAATAAGAATCTCGTTGTTAAAGTAAAGTTTAGAGCTTGAAATTTTTATATTGAATGTACGTCTTCTTGAATTTGTATAAGAACTGAGTGTAGAGTTGTTTGTAACGATTAATTTATTTGATAGGAGCAATAATCTGCAGAGAATTAGTTTAGAATTTTAATTGACATGGTTGTAATCAGTTCAAAAAATACTCTTTTAAGTGGGCTACCTTGTTAGAGACTCTATATTTACTATTTAGGTGCGCGGTAGTTGTACAAATAATGGGAGCAATATCATGGCTGGTCTTGGCAGCATATTGTTTGCCATGATATGACCAAGTAGCTGATTACTGCAATGCATGTTATTACTAGAGAAAGGGACTTTGCAGTGACTATAGAAAGGCTACCTTTGTCTTGGGGATCACTAATTGGTTATTGTCATGACTTCTTTTGACTGCATTGTAGTGTAGTAGGTACTCCATTGTTTTAGGGATCATACTAGTGTATGTACTCCATTGTCCCAGCTTTGAATTACTACCTACGAGCAGTTCAAATGGCATGGCGGTTGTTGTTTCCTTACCTTTTTAAAAAAGTAAAAAATAAAAAATGATCGACGTTAGTTTTTTTCTCAAAGATGAGCTTTTTGGAATTATATATGAAATCTAATTTGAAACATTGATTGGTTATCTAATTAGAAATAGGAAAAGCAAATCTGACAAGATTGTTGCCTGTTAACAATAGCACCGTATTTGCAGCCAATAAAATAAAGTTAATAGCACCATATTTGCTAATAATGGGCATTTAGTACAACAATATTTTTATGTAGCTTTTTAACTTTGTGATTGTGATATTTGCTTTTTTCTTGAACTGCAGTATCATTCAAAGTGTTGAAGTTTGTAATGTGGATTGTGAATGTATATTTGATCCAATGCCTCCAAATTTTTTTTGTTTTTGTTTTTGTTTTTTGCTGGAGGCATTCTTGAACTCTTGAGGATAAGATGTGATCATTATGGTTACCACTGCTGGCAAAGGATGCAATATCAGGATTGTCTTTCTTGGAGAAAGATGTTATTTTTGTAATTTTTTGACAGAAAAAAAGATCCTTAGAATACATGGGGTTTGTATATAATAAATATAAAATATCTATGTAGACTATTTTATTTCTAGGCTTATTTGACAATTGGTTAGTTGAGTTATTACAATAAACATGTTTATATAAATGGTGGTGGTCTTAATCATAGTTACCAAGAAACTGAGTTGGGGATGGAAAAGGCTTTTTTAGAACCACATTTCTGAGTTATGATCTCCAAAAGTATGGCCCTTTTGGTGCTGCGTGTTTTGACTTCTTTGACTAGGGTCAAACATGGAAAAAAACTCCTCTTTTGGGAGGTGGGGGGCAGTTTTCTCAAACTTTGTAAAATCAAATTTTAGGATTGAATTATGCAAAATCTAGCAAGTAAGGGTCAAATTCCACGAGCTGTGGGTCTCAAAACCAAGCCACAAGAAATAACAAAGTAAGGCTAAAATAAAATCTCAAAATCTTAAGTTTCAGTTCTTCAAAGACATCCTTAAAAAGAGTAATTACAACCCTATATATAAGTAGCCAAGGAAGTTACTTCCTTATGAAGTACTTTGGAATAGAAAAACTACAAAATAACAAGAAGTGGACTAGTGGTAGACATACAATGCAACCACTCCATAACAAGCTAGTGACACATGATGTTCATGCAAACATTCAATGGCAAGTGACATGGTTTTGCATGTAGCCACCTATTAACATGTGTAATACATGCAACCATCGCACTAAGAAAAAGGTGACGTGCTGCTTACAAACAACCACCTCAATAACAAGCTGTATACAAGAACATAATACACCTTCTCATTAGTTTTAAATTTGTGATACTTCTGTTGATTTCTTCTCTCAAGTTATTGTCACTACAAAAAATTAAGGTTTTAGAAACCAAAATTTAGGGACAAAATTATTTTTTAGAGACCAAATAATTTTGTTGGAAAAGTGTCGTCATTATAATTTTAGCAACAAAAATTGGACATTAGTCATGAATTATTATCCTTTTGAGATCAAATTTTTTGTCTCAAAAAATAAATCATTTTGAGACCAAATTATTTTGTCCCTAAAAGTCTATTTATTAGTGACATTTTCAAAATTTTGTCGCTAAATGTCTTATTTTTTACTTTTCGGGACGACCTTTTAGCAACTATCCTCATGAAGATGGAAATTGGTCTTTAAATGTCTTTTACAACAAAATTTTCACTTTTAGAGACCAAAACATTTGGTCTCTAAAACTTTTATATGTTGTAGTGTGCCTGCCATCTTTTGATTTTGCCATAGCTGATTCCACTTGTTCAAATGTTTGTTTTGGGTTCTTATGTTTGAATTCTGAATTTTTTTAAGACCTATAGGGAATTGAATATTTGAGGGCTTGCATCTTTTTTCTTTTGTTCTAAACTTGGCAAGTTGGTAAATACATAGTACTTTTAGATTAAAAAATGTCTGCTCCAAGCAAGAGCTGCGTCATCACTACCTAAGGTACTAAATTTGTATCTTTTAATTTTTAATTTTTGCAAGGTGGGTTTTTATTTTATTTTTATTCTCTCTTATGTTCTTGGGTTTGATGATGACAAATACTTGTTAGTTTATGTGATGCTGCATAATTTGATGTTGGATATCCTATGAATGGTGTTGCTTAGTGACATAAGATTGTGTATGTGGAATCATAGAGTATGATTACTGTTGCTTTGTTGCATAAATATTAGTTTGACATGACTTGGCTGTATTGATTGCCATATTCTCATGAGATCCGTGGTTGGTCCTTGGAAAATTTACTTGTTCATGACTTATGCAATATATGATTTGGAAGGATTGCAATTCTTGATCTGGTCTTGATAGATAGCATTACCATTGCTTGATTTTGTTGGTAGTACGAGCTCGTTTGGTAAAGAATACCATTGTGGAATTGTGCACTCCCAAGGGCAGCCTTACGATTTCCATTAGGCGTGTTTTTTTCACTTGGTTTGGTAAGATATTGTTGTGTAGCTTTTGAATTACTGTCTCATTTTCTCCATTGCTTCTACGGGACCTTTCAAGCTTAATGGTGTTCCTCTTAGACATGTAAATCAATCTTATTTGATTGATACTTCGACCAAGGTGGACATCTCTGGCGTCAATGTTGAAAAGTTTTTTTTTTTGGAACTGGACAATGTTGAAAAGTTTGATGACAAGTATTTTGCAAAGCAAGTCGAGAAGAAGAAAAAGAAGGGAGAAGGCGAGTTCTTTGAGGCAAAGAAAGACATTTGCTTATAATCCTTTACTAAAATTGTGAAAAATGCATTAAATTTTTGTTGTTTTTTTGGACTTATTTAGTTTAAATATTTTT